ATCTAATTAATTTCATTCCAATTTTCTTCTTACTTCTCTCTTCTCTCCCCCTACTCTGTCACTCTCTTTTCTCCCCTCTCCGCCGGCAGCCTCGCTAACTTCTCCAAACCATACATTTTCCCTTATTTTCTTTTTATCGAGTTCTCTATCTATCTCTGTGAGTGCCACTGGTCACTTTCTCCCTTCTTTTTATCTCATTTTCTCTCTAACAGCGCTCACCGACGATGAGTGCCGTGCAGCCTCTATGTGCGATGCAATGCAAGTGAGCTTCGCTGCGTGTACTTTCGTTGGTGCGACTATGAGTGGTAATGGCTGGTTCGACTGGGCGATTAGGATGTCGCAGACGCATGTCGGATAAGATAGTTTTTATGTCATGTCGGCGTGATGACGTTGGTGGTGGGGAAGGAGTATTGTTGTTGGTGGCGATTGTTGATTAGAGCAGTTGATGTTGGTGGCGATTGCTGATTACTGTTGGTGAGGAATGAGTATGGAGGTACCGACGAGAGAAATGGTAACGTGGTTTAGGGTTTGAAGAGGTGGGCTGGATTGTTGAGGTCTGGGCCATTCTGAGGATGTGGTGGTGAATTTAGTGGCGGATCTGGCGGTGGTAGATTTTGCGGCGTCAGGGGTGGTTTTGTAGTTGATTTGGTTTGTTGGTTGTGAGTCGTGATTCAATAAATTGGTTAATTTGTGACCAATTATTTGAGGTTGTGACCAATAAATAATATGTGATGATTACATGTTGGTTTTTTTAGATGATGGTTTACTGTCGGGAGGTGGTGGTGGTGATTTTGACGACGGGATTTCGATTGCCATGCTGTTGGTGGCAGTGATGAGGTTGTAGTCACAAATGTTGTAGTGGTCACAGATTATTTGGTCTTTTGTGACCATTAAATTGATTAATATGTGATGGATAGACAATATTTGATCAATGAAAAAGATAAATTGTGACCAAAAAATAATGTGAGACCTAAAAAATTGTTAATTTGTGACCGATAATTTAACAATTTGTGACTGTCTACTAAGTCGTGACTTGTAATATTTGTGATTTGTGACCGATAAATAAGTTGTGACGTATAAATTTTTTTATTTGTGACCGATGAACAAATTGTGACCTATAAAACTTTTGACTTGTGACCGTAAAATAATTTGGGACTTATAAAATTTTTGATTTGTGATCGATGAACAAATTGTGA